GCATCCTTTAGCACAGCTAAGGTTCTCACCCTTGATGCACCTTACAATTACCTGGGTGGCAGGGGGCTTTTAAAAATTCCCCGAAACTGAAGTTGCAACAGACCAGTGAAATCAGAATCCCTGGGGCAGGATCCAGACATCCTTGCTGTTAAAACTCTCCAACTGGTTACAGTGTGTAGCCAGCGTTGAGAACCACTGCTTGAAACCAACATCTTTTGATGAACTAGTAGCAAATGGTTTCTCAAATGAATGTAAAGTCTTTGCTGCTGAGCTATATTTCAGTCTTACTTGCGTTATTTACATACTGTCTTTTGCAGGACCTGACCTCTGCCTCAGCTCTGTTTGTTTGACTAACGTCATTTCACAGGTTGACTGGAGGCTGCATGTGATGTGCAGACGGCCCATGCTGTTATTGTGGCCTTGGTTTGGGGAGGTTTGCTGGGAAATAAAATCACATCCTCAGAATAAGAGTCTTTCTACTTATCAAATTGAGGCAAACAATGGGAAGATTAGGGGAGGTCTAGCCCAAGGGTCGTTAGGACAGTTGTAATAGATCATCAGAATCTGACAATTCATCTGATGGATGGCTGTGGGTAGAGTGTGCCACTTTGAAACGCAACAAACCACTGTGCGGTTTACTCTGAGATACTAAATTCTGTGGTGCAAATATATGTGGTATTTAAATATTTTGTTGGTACATAGCTGCCTACAGAGAATAGGGCTAAAGGCATTTCATTAAGCTCCACATATACTTATGGACAAAGTTAATACACGTGGGCCATGAAATGAGCAGGCTCACTCATGTGGGCCACAACACTTTCTCCCTCCCTCCTCCTCAAAGGTACAGTTGCTCTTAACAGCTGACTTTATAGATCAGTTTCGTTTTCTGGTGCAGGCTGGTTTCATTACGGAAGTTATGAAATTATACCAAGTGGAACCAAAATTGTATAATAGACCGTGACCCAGCTTCAACAAGCTAGTAATTCGTGTGCCTTTTGTTTCTTTGTCTCTCCCTTTCCCTACCCCTCACTTTATGTATCTTTTTTAGTTTTTTTTTGGTGGAGGTAGATATACGATGCATTGAAAGGGACAATTTATTGTGCGCAGCTTTTTAGAAAATAAATAACACCCTATCTAACCCATTACCCTTTCTCAGAATGGCAATATTTCCATCATCCAGACACCCTCCTTGCATGTCATTCCTAGGCAATTTTTAACTCCCAGAGGGAGTATTGTTGTGGGGTTTTTACATAGTTTCATTTTGCTTGAAATCATCAATATACATTTTATGTCCACCTGTCTCAGCACAATTTGCTTGTGAGACACCCGTCCATAGGTGTGTATTTTTATTAGTTTGTCGTCCTTTGTTGCTGAATGAGTATTCTGCTGTCTGCGATGCACTGTGGTTTGTTCATTACATCTCTGTTGCTGAATCTTTGGGGGGCTTATGTTCCTGCTGTTGGGCTATCATCATTACTGAGAAGATCTATGAAATATCTTTACAAGTCATTTTGTGTATTGTTTTATTCGCCTTTATTAACATTGAAGTACACATATTTTCATTTTTTGAAGCGTTGCTCGCAGGGATTACAGTGTGCATCATTACATCTACAGTTAGGGTTACCAGTGAGTGTAAATAGAACTTACTAAAGACATAGCATGCGATTTTTCTTATCGCTGGCTGTGCTGTTGCTGCCTAATTTTATAGTCTTGTAACAATGTCAACACACCCCGGCAACCGCAGTTTATATTTGCGGTTTGGAGGGTCATGTATGGATGTTTTACGATGGAAATTAAGGAGGGTGTAAAAAAGGCCACAAATACTATTATAGATGGTTTGGGATGGCGGGTAGTTTGCGGCACAGAAACATACTGTTTCTTCTTTAAGGTTTCATTAATTTCTGCGATTCATGGATGACTTTCCTGGCAGTACATTGAGTCTTACCTTGTAGTTTTCTAGTGTAGGTTTTCATTTGGCGTATCCTCTCAACCTTCTATTTACTTGGCAATCCTTCTGGTAGGGATTTGTCTTTCCTTCCTGATTATTTAGAGTCGTCTTTCGTAGTATCGATGATGACGTTGTGGATGATTCGTGTATCGTATGGTGGTTAATTTAGTCGTCTGTTTCGACAATTATTTGCAGCTACCGGTTGTTCCACCTTGGGTCAGCCAGAGGCACCTATTCCCAGGGTGTCTTGGCTTCTTTTCGACAGTGGTCTCGCACCCGTTTTTGGTTTTTTTAGACAAGGCCACTTTTATTTTGCTGTCCAGCTGCAAGATGCTCTATCTCATCTTGTGTTTTTGTTCATGTGGGAGGCTGTGGATTATCAATTTCTCCAACGAAGGCGGGTTTCGTTTATAGGAGAAGCTACGGTTTTAGAACTAGGATTGGTATGGTGTGCTCATTAATACTGGATTACCACTGCTTCTGGCTTTCTCTTCAGCATAGGTTTGGAAAGCACGTGAATGTTTCCAAACATGTATGCATGAATACAAACTCCAGCATCTACGTAATCTTATCTGTCTTATCTAAACAGATAATTAAAATAGACAAGGGGTTCATTACTGACAGTTCCTAACTCCAGTGCAGCGCACCTCAGGATTTATTCTAGCATTCTCCCTTTGCTTATTTGTAACTCTTTCACCTACAGAGAGAAACTGGGATCTAATTCTCTAAAATGTATTTGCTAACACAGAAAATCATTTCAGAATTGCTAACCCATACCCTGAAACAAATTTGCCAACAATATGTTTGTGTACAGTTCTTGACTCTTACAGTATGCAGTCAAAACAGTATTTTCCAAGGTTACTTAGGTGAAGACTTTTTTTCCCCACACTCTTCAGTATGGGTTAGTCATAATTTGTAATGCAGTAAGATTCATTTGTCACCCACTGCATTCCATCTGACCCCCTCACCATCTTTGTTGATTTTTAAATTTATGTAGAATAAAACCTGTAGCAGACACTTTTTCTACATCAGTTGAGATAATTGTGATTTGCCACTCCATTCTGTTAATGAAGTGATGTTTGAATGTTCAACCATCCTTGCATTCCAGGAATAAATTCTTCTTGGTCATAGTGTATAATTATTTTAATATGCTGCTGAATTTAGTTTGTTGGTATTTTGTTGAGGATTTCTGCATTGGTATGCATCGGAGAAGTGATATGGATCTCTAGTTTTCTTGTCTACTTTTTTTTTCTGGCTTTGGTATCAGGGTAATTCTGACCTCATAGAATAAGTTTAGAAATGTTCTCTCATTTTCAATTTTTTAGAAGAGTTGGATTAGTGTTATTTAAATGTTTGGTAAGATTCACCAGTGAAACCATCTGGTTCAGGTCCTTTCTTTGTCAGAAAGTTTTTGATGACTGATTCAATCTTAGTAGTTACGGGGTCTATTCTAATTTTCTGTTTTTTCATTATTCAATCCTAGTAGGTTTTGTATACCTAAGAATTTGTCTATTTTATCTAGACTGTCCTATTTGTTGGCAAACAGTTGTTTATAGTACACCTCTTATAATTCTTTATTTCTGTAGAATTCATAATAATGTCCCACTGTTATTTCTGACTTTGAGTCTCTTTTTCTTAGTCAATCTAGCTAAAGTTTTGTCAGTTTTGTTCATCTTTTCAAAAACCAACTTTTGGTTTTGTTTATTTACTGATAAGGAGGGATTTATTTCTGTCATATACTGTTTGTTGTTTATATGTCTTATAGCTTTTTTGTTCTTCATTTCCTACATACTGTCTTCTTTTGTATTTAATTGATTTTTGGTAATGAAATGTTTTAATTTCCTCACTTCCTTTTGTATATATTCTATTGTGTGTGTGTGTGTGTGTATGTGTATGTGTGTGTCATCATGGGTATTACATTTAACTTGCAAGTTTATTCATTTTATTCAATTGTATAAACATACTGTAATTTATTTATCCATTCTACCCTTTATGGCCCTTTGGATTTTAATTATTGGACTTTTTGTTAGAGCAGTTTTATATTTACATGAAAAAATGAGTCAGGGAATTCCCATATACCCAGTCTCCTGCCCACATGCTCTGTTGTTACCCTTACAGCCTTGCCTTGTGGTACGTTTGTTACAGTTGATGAACAATGTAGAAATATTATTATTAACTAAAATTCATTAGAGGTCACTCTTTGTGTTGTACCTTCTATAATTTTGAGAAATGTGTAATGACATGACATGTATCCATCATTAATGCAGCATTCAGAATAGTTTCACTGTCTTAAAATATCCCTTGTGCCTCAGCTATTTGTTTCTTTCTTTCAGCCTCCCCTTCCCACAACCCTGATAACTATTGCTCTCTTTACTGTTTCCATAGAATATCATGTGCAATTTTACAGAATATCGTATGGTTGGAATTCTATAGTACATAGCATTCAAGTGGGCTCCTTTCACTTACCAATATGCATTTAAGTTTCCTGTGTGTCTTTTCATGGCTTGTGAGCTCAGTTTTAAATCAAGGAATAATAATTTATTGTGTGAATCCACAACAGTTTATCCATTCACCTACTGAAAGGCATCTTGATTGCCTCCAAGTTTTAGCAATTATGAACAAAGCTGTCATAAACATTTACGTGGAAGTTTTTGTGTGAATATAAGTTGTCAGCTTATATATAAGGGTATACTTAGCTTTATAAGGAACTGCCAGGCCAGGCACAGTAACTCATATCTGTAATCCCAGCACTTTGGGAGGTTGAGGTGGAAGGATTGCTTGACCCCAGGAGTTCATGACCAGCCTGGGCAATATAATGAGACCTTGTCTCTACAAAATAAATTTAAAAATTAACCAGGCATGGTGGTGCCTGTTGGTGTTAATATCATTGTTATGCAACCTGCTCTAGGAAGTGACGATCCTGTGTTCTCTAAGATGAACGTAATGAGAATCACTCAAGTCAGTAGTCACAACCCATCATTAGCAGAAGCTCAGAAAATAAGATGTTAAATGCCTGGCCATTAAGTTTTCTTATCTTTGTTTATTTCTACAGAATCATCTCCCCTGCCCCACAAACGTGAAAGAAAAGACAAGGGAAGCACCCAAGAAGAGGAGGGGAGAAGTGCCCCAGAAAAAAGTCATCCAGTCTCTGAAGCTTCGCCCAGGTGGGCACAGGCCAGCCAGCCTCTCCTCTGGTTGCCCAGCCGGCTGCAGGCTGTCATATAACCTTCCACCCGGCATGCTTTTGAGTGTGTGGAAGTGCTGTATGCCCTCTTCTTTTAAAAACTGTTGAGCAAATGCCTCCGCATTTTATGCCCCTTCAACCTCCACCTCCAAGGGCCCCCAAGACCAAACATGCTGTGCACACACAGCAGCTCTTTGTGTCCCGCTCCTGGCCGATCTCCTGCATCATCTCGTTGACCTCCATGAACCCCGCAGTCCTGCATACCTCTGTGGAAACTCAGGGTCTTCTTGCTCCATGGAACTCAGGGTCTTCAATTTCCATGGAACTCAAAGCTTCTCTGCTCTGTGGACTTGAGTTCCTCCTGGCTCCTGGAACTCAGGGCCTTGTGCCTCCACGGATCAGGGTCCTTGTGCTCTGTGGTACTCAGGGGTCGTGTGGCTCCATGTAACTCAGGGTCTGCATGCTCCATGGAAAGCACTGGGACACCACTTGACCCCCACACCCACACATACATCCTTCCATTTTATCCTGGACCCCCACCTGTCCAGCCGCTGTGAGGCTTCTTCCCCCCCTCTGGCTTTGAGCTCACGCCGGGGCTTTCGGCTGGGAAGCATGGGTTGTTGTAGAGAAGTGGCTGAGGTCACACGTTCAGGAAGAAATTCTTGGTGTCGGCACCTGATGGAGCTGCCTGGGGAGGATGTTTCTTGAGGCACGTGCCCTGGTGGCCAACTGGCCTTCTTATGGTGCCCACGCCTGCTGCTGATGCCATGGAGGAGCCACCAGGGCCACACCTGGGGGGGGCTGTCTCTGGAATTTGGTGGTTTTCATCTCCACATTAGGTACGAAACTGGCCAGCACCTTGGCTGTCCTTGTGGGCTCTGCCCCTGACCCTCGGTTCGCTCCCAGGTGGCTGTTTCTGGGCTGGCTGCTCTTCCAGGAGGAATTACAAGGTGGGAATGGCTTGAAACCTGTGGCTTGATAGCAGAGACCCTAGGCTGTGTCATGGCAGTAAAGGGAAGGACTTGGCAGATGGTGGTGGGAATCGCTGAAAGGCAGGGGCTTCACTGTGATGCTGGAGCCCTCCACACGCTTTGGATTGTTTCATACAGCCAGGTTCAGTAGGTGGCCCTTCAGCGAGTCCTAAAAAAGATCTTGTCACCTCAAACCATGGACAACATGAGGCTCAATTTGCCAGGGCTCCCTGGGAAAGGGGATTGGAGAGCCTGAGAAAGAGAACTGGCGCTGCCTATTACCCACTCCACACGCCTGCCTCCTATAACCCCTTAGAGGTCAGCCAGAGACAGTAACTCAATCTCGGGCCTTTGGGCGCAGATGCCCAGAATGAGGGAGAAAGGGGCCAGGCCTAGACACCCAAAATAAAAGTCTATAATTTTAAATGATAAATACCAGAAGGTGTTTTGAAACCAGAGCAAGCTCCATCTGAATAGGTCCTGGGTAATTTAGGCCCCACCCTTAAGCCTGGAGAATCCTTGAAATAGGCTGAGACCTACTGGGGCTGGCATACCAGGAAGGTAAGGCTTCCTAGTCCCAGGATGAGATAGGAGGTCGCACCAGGATACAGTCCACAAAGACTGCTGATAAAAACAGGTTGCGGTAAAGAAGGCAGCCACAAACCAAGATGCGTGATGAAGTGGACTGTCTGGTTTTGTCTCACTGCTCATTGTATGCTAATTATGATGCGCATTAGCTGGCTAAAGACACTCCCACGAGCATCATGACAGTTTGAATGCCATGGCAAATGTCACGGAAGTTACCCTATAGTGGTCTAAAAGTGGGAGACAACACCCTCAATTCCAGGAATTGCCCACACCTTTCTGGAAGACTCATGGATAATCCACCCCTTGTTAGTATATAATCAAAAGTAACAATAAGTACAAGAGTTTGAGGGCACCCCATGCCACTGCTCTTGGCCTATGAGTGGCTTCTTCTTCCTTTTATTTTGTAATAACTCGCTTTCACTTTATGGATTTCACGCCCCTCGGACGTCCTCTTTCTTTGCCACGAGATCCAAGAATTCTCCTG